AAAATCACATTTCTCAAAACAGCGGAGAAAGTTGGTATTAAGTTTTAAGACAGTATGCTGCCTTCTAACATGCCAATCTAATACCAGCATTGTACATTGAGGGCCTGTTCACACCAGCCAACATAAAACATGACATTTTATTGGTTCCTATGCACTGTACTGTGGTGACTAGTGTTTACTTTGGGGAAAAATTCAGCATGTCTTCACAATTGTTTTCTAGCAATGAACCTGTATTGATCTGATCAGAATGATGCAGGTCACCACACAAACATTAAAAATCCACCTTGCTGTATGAGAGAGGTGACTAAGTGGTCTTCCTCGACCTTTTTATACCAAAGGATCTCTTTAAATAATTTGCAGGTATCAGGGGAACCTGAAGACCACAGTGGTGTTTAGAATGCCACCCTTACAGTCAGTTAAAATTATCATTGGTGTCATGATACTAGCTCTGGCAAGTGGGGATGGACCTGGAAATTTGAAGGCACCATCAGAAGGGAAGTCACTTAGCCACAGCTCAAGAAACCTAGCAACCTCTACAGGAACCCTGGTTGTGAATGGTTAGACTTAAGTGTCAGTCTAACCAACCTGCATACCAGTTCAGTGTACCATTCTAAATGCTCATTAAAATGTAGTAAGCCCATAAACATTATATATAGCTTGATGAATGTTTTGACATTTTGGACTCATGGACACATTTTTTTTCATATGCTAGGAGGCCACTAAATGTATTGCTGAACAAACCATAAAACTTGCTTATTTATAGAAAAAGAATGTTTCTCAAGAGTTGAGAACTTGCCTCTAGTGACCAACCTTTTGATCTCTGTAAAAAAAAAAAAAAAAAAGAAGAGGATCTGTCTAGTAATCTCAGTATCTTTGTCCAGTTTTTGTAAAGTTGTCATCTAGCTATATGAATAGGGAGAGCTACAACTATACAGTAGCTTTTCACAACCTTTTCAACACAGAGAAACCCTTGAAATAACTTTCCAATCTCAGGGAAACCCTGCTAAAAATTAATATATCTACAACTCAGGTTACATTAGTGCAGGGGTGATAAACCTGTGGCCCACAGAGCCCTCTGATGTGGTGCTCAACCTGAATGCTGAGCGTACTTTCAGAAGCTGCACTACACACCCACAAAATATAATTGAAGCCTATGACAAAGAGCAGCTTCCACAGTGCATGTAAACCACAGTGCATCAGTGTGAAAGCAGCCTTATAGGGGGCTCAGGACAGTAAGTGCCTGTTTACATTTGCAGTTTGGGGGGCAGTAAAACTCCATAGTTGAGGCATGTCTTTACCACACCCCCTCCAACCACTGATGCAGCATCAGGGGTTGCAATGGCAGTCCTGCCTCCAAGGGGCCATGTGGCCTCTGTTATATTCTGTTTTACACTTGAACAAGACAGGCAGCAGGGGGTGGCATATACTAGAAATGATCCTCTTCATTTCCTCCTGCAACTACTGAAAGACAGTTTTCTTCTCTCCCTCCAGCAGCTGAAGGAGGAAAACATTCATTATGCTATTCAAAATTTAAAAAAATGAAATTCTGAACCATTTAATTTCACTGTGGCCCACTACCAGTTACTAAATCCCATAAGCAGCCTTCGCTCTTCAAAAGGTTGGCGCACCCCTGCATTAGTGTGACGGTCAGTAGGGAGAATGCTCCTTACATTTGTGATCATTAGGAAGAATTACCCCCTTACAGATGGCTAAAAAGAACAATGGTGTCAGTGGGAACTTATCAGAATGGCAGAAATTGCTCATCACTCAAGGAAACCCTAGCAAACTAATGAGGAACTTGAGGGTTCCATGGAATCTTGGCTGAGAAACCCTTCTCTACAGGTTATGACTTTTCTTAGGCTGACAGATAAGGTAGTCTACAACAGTATAGATTTATTTTGTTAAGGAGGTGCTTTCCTAACTTATTTGTAAGGTTATGAAAGACAAGGAGAAAAAAATGAAAATATCCCTGAGAAAAACATTCAACAACCAAAAACACAAAGAAGTGTGTTCTCTTAAAACAGGTTCTACATTTTGTCAGGACACAATTTGTTTCATTCCTTGGTTGGAAACAAATATATCTTTTTTTTTTTTTTTTTTTTAAATCAGGAAGGAAAAAATATATCTGAAAGGTTCTTCCTTTTTGTTATAAACCAAGTTTACTTTTAAGAATATGTTACTCCCATATTAAGGGGGTAACACGCAATATGTTCCTAAGCACCCACTTCACATTTATGATCATCATGGCATTCATTCATAGAGATCTTTGAGTGAATAAACTACAAATCCCATCTGTCACTGCAGCAGATGTACTCAAAGTTCTTACTGGACTTCCTCCAGCTTTTAAGTGAAAGCTCAAATAGGGGTAGGGGCACAGAGCTGAAGGGAGTGTCTGCAGAAGCATGACATTGCACCTGCAATCCACTGATTGTGGATGCAATGCTTTGCAGAATCATATGTTAAATAATAATAATAATAATAATGAATGCACTTTTTTTCATGCAAAAATATGTGGTTTTTTTTTTTTTCTTAAAGGTGAACTTAGCCTTTAACCAATGGGGGGGACATTTATCAAGCAAATTAGCAATGCAATTAGATGCAAATCAGGCTGCCTCTCACTAAGCCCCCAGTCACATCAACGCTGATTTTGAAATTGTGTGTCTTACAGTGAAGTTGCACGATTTCAAAATCGGGTGACCTGCCGATTTCAGTTGCAATTTGCAAGACATCTGACACAGATGTCTATGCAAATCGCACCAAAAGTAGTGCATGGACTACTTTAGAAATTGGTGCGGCTCCAACCAAGTCGGAACCGCACTGATATGACCGCTCGAATAGCGGACAATAGGGTGCGACTTGGCATACGATTTGCAAGTCGCATGGCATGCAAATCGCACCCGATGTGACCGGTGTGTAAGCAAAGTTTAATCGACAGGTTTTTTTTGTGTATTTTTTGACTCCTGGGCCAGAAATCCTGGAAAGCCAACTGAAAGACTTACCAGAAGATGAGGCAGATCACTTTAAACAGATGCACAAAATATTGTACATGTTCACATTTACTCGATAACCCTCTTCCCCCCCATTCTCCTCAATAAGATCAGCTGTGTCCCCAGTTTTGTCTGTACCTACCTTCTCCTTCAGCTGCAACCTCAACAGACCATTTGCAGCCCAACCTGGATAAAAATCTAGTGCTGTGCTGCCCAGCACTAACATCCCAAAGCCTTCAATGGGATGTATCCATACTGCAGGAGCAACATCCCTTTCAAGTCTGCATTACTGTGCAGGCGCAGGCAGCAGAGCACTAGATTTTTACCAGCCGTGCTACAGAAGGTGTGAGGCTGTAGCCGTCAGAGGAGAAAAGTATGAATCTCCGCAGCAGTGACACAGCCGATTGTTTTGTGAGGGATAGGGAGATTTTTGCATAAATGTAAACTTGTACTTTAAAGTGTATCTAAGTAAAACAAAAATGTAATATGTTGCAGCTTACTAGTACATAGATGTGGTTGATACATTTTTTTTTTTTTTTCCTTACTTTTTTTTCTTTTATTTTTACCTGGCAATTCTGCCAGTAACACTTTCAGTTCTAGAATGACAACTTTCAATCACCATTCAGTAGCAGAACAACATAAACAAACAGTCACAGGCCAAGAGCACAGGAAGTTATAAGCTCACAAGATTTCTGGCAGGATCAATATGTATTTATCTCACCTTACAAAAAAAAAAAAAAAAAAATGCTCTCAATTGTATATTTCATTGGGCAGCTGAGGAAGGACTTTATGCATAAAGTTGTATAACTATAATAAATTTGTCTATTGTTTCTGTTTTGCCTTGCAATGCAGAATTGATAAATGCCCCCCCAATGAGTTTCTGAATATTAAAAGTATAGAAAATACATCCATCTTCAGTACATTTTAGTGTGACCTTTTGTATTCTCCCCCCCATAGAATTCCGGCGGATCTTCGGGAAAGCAGTGGTTCTTTTTCAAAAATATGCCAACATATCTTCTGGTAGTAAAGATCCTCTTTTTTACCACTTGCGATCATGTGCTGTAGGTTTTGTAGTGTGCAGGCTTTACAAAATAACTTTTATTTTTTCTTTTATATCAAAGTACCTTACAAATATATTCCATAAACATTTCTAAGTATTTAGCATAAAATTCTGTAATAAAATTCTCTATTTCTCAGTTTAGGGAGCCTGAAAGCCCATCTCTAGGACCATGGTAGAGATGCATCATATAGTGCCTTAACCGAATCTCCGCTCTCACCGTTAAAAGTGAACTTTTTCTGTGTAGAAGCAGCCAACTTTACCCGTGTACCAGTCATATGCATTTGCGCTTAGTACAAAAAAAAAAAAATATGCCAATGGTATCTTCATTCCCCAATCTCCAACATTTAGCGCCATTAACGTCCGATGTGTGCTGGAAAGTTTTAATTTATCTTTACAAAACAAAGGACGGCAGTGAGCAACAATGGTTTCTGAGAAGTAGAACGGTTTGTGTGATACTCCAAACCTTGATCTAACCATAATAGCAAGTCTGCTTTTAAAAAGACATCAAGGCTCCTGATTTTGACAGTCTTTGAAATGGTATGTACTAAGAGTAGGTCAGAAAGTGAAAGGACTGTGGAGTACCACGATACCAAGGACAACCCTCTCCTTGGATTAACCTGAGTAAAACCTGATTTATATTGCTAGATTTTATAAATCTAGACTGCTTGCAAAACTGGAGACCTCCTGTGACAAAAATTAAAATATAGTTCTTTTTCTTTGATTTATTTTTCTAGGAAGACTGATACGATTAAAAGGAAATTTTTTTTTCTCCAGGAGATCGGTTTGTGACATGTTAAAACAGCTGGAAAATCTGTCTTTTAGCACTGGCAAAGTAGAAGGCACGAATGCGTTTTAACCAAACCCACGAAAGGAGGAAAATGGTTACGTATAACCTTGCTCCCATCAGAACGATGAATAAAAAAAATAAATCTTTGAAACAATTCCTCCAGCCCTTAGTACATGTCCCTGTAGATTTCTTGCAGTAATGGGTGAAGGGAGGCATCAGTTTCAGTCTTTTTGATGGTCTGGACGAGGAGGGCGTGTTCTGTTACAAGCTGCCTCAGGTCGGCCATTTTCTGTAAGAGTTTGGGGAAGAGGAAGCTGTCGTCTGGGTGGTTGGATTGGAGGTGAAGCTTCAGTACATGGACAATGTTTTCTTGCATTTTCTCAATGCTAGGGACATTCAGCAGTCCAGGACGGTCTGTTAAAAGAGAAAAAGAGTAAGTGTATTGTGGAGCTAAAACCCAACACCAGTTTCAATTAATGAAAAAAAAAACAAAAACAGTAACCAAGCACTTATAAATATAAAAAAGTAGATATCGATGCAATACTCACCTTCACAAAGCTGTCTTGTGCAGACTACCTGCTCTGCAATCTAATGCTGGTCCTCTACTGGGCTAAATAATGCCCACTGTCCCACTACCTGTAAGTGCACAGTGTCATGAGCCCACCCCCAGGGTTTGCACCATTATGGTTGTCTGCACTCACAGTGAAATGAAGCAGAAAACTGTGCTGTTTCCACTTCAATGGCGATCACTGCATCATTTAGAACCACCCCGTGCAGAAGAGGACCCTGCATATCACATGACCAGCCTGAAAATTTCAGAAAAGAGACTAGTATATTTGGTGCACACACTGTGGTATGTGGCTATATACATAGGATCACTTCAAAGTGTGCACTCTATATGGTCTGTGGACACGAATGTTGGAGCCAAATTACCTGTATAAAATGGAGTGTGAGATAGAGAGATTGCTCAGTGGTCTTCAATTTGTTCATGTTAACCTGCAACCAGACCTGCTGCTTACACCTTCCTGTATGCGACCCAGCTTGCCCTCTGTCTTGTCTGTGGATCTGGTCCTTTACAGCCTGTATTTTGCACTCTGCTTTCTGCCATATGATGCTGTACCCCATTGCCAGGCTATTATTACCTCAGCTTGTATCCTAACATTGTCTCTACTTCCTGATTCAGTCATTTTCTGTCCGTCTGTTACCGATCTTCAGCTTGTGTGGACTATGTTCCTGCATTCTACTTGGGTACTGCGGTGTTCCTTCATTTGGTCTGACGCTCACATCTGAAAGCTGGTACTACCTGCAATATGGGCCTTTGTGCCACCGTGTCCTCACATTTTCGGTCACCACTTCCAGAGGGGATGCAAAACGAGCCCTATCTTCAGTTCGGTCTCCAGCAGATATGTGACAGCTAGCCTTGACATTAACTAGCCAGTTGAAATTAACTAAAAAACTACTGGTAATGTGGTAATTAGTCTCTTCCCAAATATCTAAAGAAATCCCCTCATATCCTGCAACTTGTTTCAGATGATTCTCCATGCAGTTCAAGTTTGGACATATATGGTGGGAATGCCCAACTGTACAAATGTATTGGACCTGTGTGTACAAATACAATAAAACAATACCGAAAAATCTGGGTTTCCAAGTTCAAATGAACCCATTAGAGGCTCTCTCTACAGGTGTAAAAACTTGACTTGTTTCACAATCGCCAGTGCCAGCTGATAACCAATACATAATTTGCAACAGCTAAATTGTTGATTGTAAAAGCAAGAAAAAACCATCTACATTGTCCTGTGCAGACCTAAAAAACGTTCTCAAAATATATCTTTTGGATCTCAGAAGGCTTTGCAAAGAACAAATTGTAAACGTTTCAACAAATATGGGCTCCGTGGATAATTCGCTGCCTTTTTCTATCAAAACTCGCTACTGATTGACAAATATGCCACTTAATTCCACAGAGATCTTCTTCACAGGATAAACATCAGATGTCAATCAATATTATTTAATTAAACACAACTTGCTTCTTTTGTACTATCATGGTAAATATTTTAGTCATAAATCTACAGACAAGACGACTTTGTTTTTAGTGTTGGATAAAGTAGGTAAAGACTACAAACATCCATCAGCTTATTATTGCCATGTTCCAGTCGCCACCAGAATAGGCAAATGGGGACGCAAGTCCTGTTTCTCAAGGTGACAAATTCTATTCAGATAATGGTTTCATACCTGCCAACATCTTCATCCCAGTCCCCGAGATCAGTGACACCCATGGCCCACACATATCACATTCTCCTTTTGGGCAGTCCCATCCAGATCTTCATCAGCTCTACCCCATTTTCTGTGCAGTCCCACCCTCGCAGTCTCAATCCCCTCAGTAATACCTTCAATTTCAATAACACTAGCACCCTCCAAACCTGCCTTCCACAACACACACAGACTAATGGAGATTGACATTTTGGTGGTCATGATGAAATTCATCAATAACTTTGAAAACTTGCCTAGTTCTGGAAACCAGAAAAAATACTTATGTTTTAAAGCTAAACTCAAGGCACAAATAAAAGGCACCAAATTTTGTGGTTCTGTAAAAAATACCATCCAATCAACAGACTGGGGATGGAGAGAGGTAAAAAAAAAACCCAAAAATTTTAGTTGTGAGCTGAAAAGTCTTTTCATTGGTGAAAAAGACATAATTGGTCTGTTCTGCAATAAAAGATTTTTACCTTTCTCCTCATAAAGTCTACAATGTACAGTGACCTGCGCATGCACAGTTTAGGAATCCTAGGATAGGCTTTGTGCGCAGGTGAATTAAACAATCGCGACTCTCCACATTGGCCAATCAGAGAATGCTTTATATTCATTGAAAAAATACAAGACTGTTCCTGAATGACTGAGATGCCATACAAGCAACTCTCTCTCTTTCCGGCAGTAGAGAGTCACTGTTAGCTGTGCAGGAAGACAACAGTGCTTGCTGTGTGCAGCACAAGTTTCTACAATCTTTTACAGCATCCCCAATGGCCAGACTGTTTTGCCATGGAAAGAATTAATTTGAGCCAAGCTGGCCCAAACAAAATATTTAAAATTAAAGGAAACCTTGAGTTTTGGTTCAACTTCTTTGCACATGTCAATCAAGATGGATCAAAAAGCTGGGAGAAGCCTGTGAGAAGATGTCAGAATAAGCTTGCGGACATCGTATGGTTGGAGCAGAGTTGAGTATAGCTCCATAACGGTTTGTGGTGCCTTCCTGGCTGTGCTACGTAATATGGCTGTATAATGCTTAGAAGTGCATGGACAGAAATACAAATTTGTTTGGTAGGTAATATAGTTCCCTTTTATGTATTTCATCTGTGCATACCATTCACTGCTTGGAGTTTAACTTTAATGACAACAATAAAACTGACTGCTTGTATGGCCAAGAAGAGGCTAAGAAGTCATTGCTGTTGTGATAGCAGCAGAAGTACTCTGATGACATTATTATATCTTATCATATAGAGAAAGTCTTACCTCCACAACAAATAAGAGCAGCAACAAACAATGCAATATCGCTGTCATCCAGTTCCAGGGCATTGAACTTCATGGCAAACTCAAACTTCGGTTCCATCATGTCACCAACTGGCTTCCTCAAACTCTTCAAGAACTCCCGGGTAATAAAACCATTTCCATAAGCTACCAACATCCCATCTTTGTTCATCACTGAAGCCAGCATGGCAAACATGGCTTCATAGACTCCGTATTTTAACAGAGTCACCTGATCGTTCAGGTCCAAGTCAGTAAAAACCGGTATGGATTTGGCAAACTCTGTAAGTTCTGTGACAGTTTCCACAGAAGTGCACTGACAACAGTGGAAGATGCGTACCTCGGCTTCTTTGTTCTGAATACCGTTGGCCACTAGTTTGGCTACCAGTGTTTTCTCTGCCATACACAACGTCTCCATGTCATGTATCACAAATGGCTGCAAGGAAGACAAATGTAGATAGAGTATGAGATTCAAGTATATGTAAATCCCAACAACTTCTCTTACTTGCTTCCTTTTGGATTGTTAATTATATAATATGAAAACATCTTGTTTTATCTGTTCTAGAAGTGCAAAAAAAAAAGCTTGTTGATCCTACTAGAAATCTTCTCAGCTGAAAAATTCCTATGCTGTCTCATTGTGCTGCTGCATTTGTATCAGTTACCTTGTTTCCAGCTCTCTGTAAGGTCTAAAGAACACCTCCCCTCTATCTAGTCTATTATGAATGCTGCTGCTAGATTTATATACTAACCTATCCTTGACTACTGCCCTTTTCTGCCAATCCCTTTCACTGGCTTCTGCTAGCCCAGTGTTTCTCAACTCCAGTCCTCATGGACCCCCAACAGGTCATGTTTTCAGGATTTCCCTCAGATGAAACAGCTGTGGTAATTACTAAGGCAGTGAAACTGATCAAATCACCTGTGCAAAATAATGGAAATCCTGAAAACATGACCTCTTGGGGGTCCATGAGGACTGGAATTGAGAAACACTGTGCTAGCCCAACGTATAAAATTCAAAATACTGACCAAAACATACAAAGCCATCCACAACATTTACCCCGGCTACATCACCAACCTCATCTGCAGATATTGCCAAAATCCTCCCTTGCTCCTCCAAAGACATCTTGCTCTCTAGCCCTTGTTACCTCCTCCCATGCTCACCTCCAGAACCTCTACCATCCTCTGGAACTCCCTACCCCAGTATGTCCAGTCTGCTACTAACCTGGCCGCCTTTAGGTGATCCTTGAAAACTAATTTCAGGGAAGCCTACCCTGCCCTCCTATTAATTCTGTATTGAACTGTGTTGCCATTGTGCTGTCTCCCTTTATATTGTAAAGCACTATGCAAACTGTTGGCGCTATATAAATCCTGTATTAGAATAATATTAATGTTACAGAGAGGAGATGGGGGTGTTTTATAGTTCTTTCCTAGGCTTACAATGCTGTTTCTCCTTAGATATAGCGCAGTGATTGAGTGTTGTCACCCTAGGACAGGAACTGTGTTACTGGCAGGATCACCAGGTGAAAAGAAAGACTGAAAAAAATGTATGCAGCCATCACATCCAGGGGGCGATCAGCTGCAATATATTATATTTTTTTCACATACGCCATGTCAACAATGATAGCCCCCATGTTTTTGTCCACAAATTAAATTTTTTAGGACAAGAGTCAATGTGCAGTAACCCACAGGAACAAATCACAACTCTTTTTTTCCATACTTCAATACTTTGCAGCCTGATTGGCCGCTGAGGGTCAGCGCCCTCTGCGCACACCATTGATCTTTGTACAGTCTAACAGAATAATCCCAATCATGTTTGCACTGAAACATTTACCCCAGAGGCTGTTGATCACAAAGCAGCATAGAGGTTAGGCATAAATACTTGTGGGTGACTCCATACAGGTACACTGCAAGGTGAACAAGTTCATTCACAAACTGAGCGCCTGAACTTTGTATATTTGCTCTGTATCTATTAACCAGACACTGCCCTTCATAAAGAACTGCTGCAAGGTTGAGCCAGGATGACAAAGTAACTTTTTGCTTATGAATTTACCTGCTAGTGAGGATCAGTCCTCCCTTGGTATTTTCCCAGTTCTTTACATACCCGCTAGAGATCATTTTTAAAATGTGATAGGGTCACTTTAAATACAAAGGTTTATCAAAACTACATTTAAGCCCCGTACACACATGAAACGACACTCGGCTCAGATGTACACGGCTGGCTTCTGTCAAATGGGCATGCTGGAAAACCAGCATCCGATCGGTATTCAATCAGTGCTGGCAGCGAACGCTGACCAGTGTGTTCAGGTGGGGGGGGGGGGGAGCTCCCAAACTCTTTTTTTTTTGTTCAGCCCGCTGGATTGAACGAAAAATAACGGACAGTGTGTACCCAGCATTAGTTTGATACAGTCTTGACATGTTTACAGAAATATCTACTTAGGTAACTGATTGTTCTTTTATGCAAGCCACATTGTAAATTTCTTTGTAACAAAAAGTATTCTATTTAATGAAGCTTTCTCTATTGGTTGGAGGGGAATGCAGAGTTTTTTATCAGTAAAGTGAGCAGTAGAGGACACACCTGCACTGCACAGTCCACACACAAGTTCAGGGAAGGTCAGAGTGACCTTGAGAGCTGCCAAATGCATCATAGGGAACCTTTCGGATCTCTGGAGAGAGAACAGCAATTAGAAGAAGACTTACTGGGTTGCTGCCTTTCCCTGTGAGAATGGCCCGAGCTTTTAATTTGTTCATATTGAAGTTTTTCTGATAGGCGTCATAGAGGAGTTTGGCCAGGGACAGAAGGTCGGCCATTTGAGAGTCCTTGATATCTTGCTCGCTGGTCAAAATTTCGGCTGTCAGTTTTGCTTTTTCTGAACGAGGCATTCTCCCAAATCGAATAGCTGAAAAGACACAAGAGGACTTGTAATTAGCAAAATAAAAGAGGTCCTAGCTTCTCAAAGTGCTGTGTTGTGACCAGGGGCAGACTGACCATTCAGGAACTCGAGCACTGCCCAAGGACCCAGGGTCAGTAGGGGGCCCCATGAGATGCCCCTGGTACCTTTCATAGGCTTTTTGGGTGTGGTTTGAGTGTGGGCGAGGATACAGGGGCCCCATGATCCCCTAATGCTCGGGGACCCCATGAGTTGTTAGGCCCCTGGTTGTGACGCAGAACCAACAAGATACAGACATTCATTCTCCACCAATCTAGTGCAGGTTCAAAAAGGGTTCTGCTGTCTGCCAAAATCTGTATTTCAGTATATTTGGTGTCATGCTTCATTGTACATAGGTTTTCCTATACAAATCATTTGAAAATTTTTTTTCTCTAGAGATCCTTCCTTCTTGCAGGATGACAGTGCTAAGCCACTGCCTAGAAAGTAGCAGCAGCAATGTCATAATACCATGTGTTCCTTCAACTGGCTTATTGGGTTGCTTATTGGATAGAATGGATAGACAGCCCAACAGCCAGCTAAACAAGCACACATGGTAAGCTGATACTGCTGCTGCTTAATGTAAGGCAGTGGTTTAGTGTGGTCAGCCTGCAATAAGAAGTGCTGTTACTAGCGGGATCTTTAGGAAGAAAAAAAAAAACACAACAACTTTGCAATAGATTCATAAACAATTATTTGTATACTTTGAGACATAATATTAAACATACTGAAAAATAGATTTACATATACTTTAAATGAACGTAACAAACAACACAAATTCCTAAATGGAGATATAGCTACCAGGGAAATTAATCACAACCCAGTCCCAGTGGGGAGGAAACATGTTAGGGAAAACATTTCATGACATCAGCATTCCTGTACAGCACCCGGCCACAGATACAGTTATCAGTATTGATAACTGCAAGCGGTATGATGCACATGCATTCATAAAGATCTAGATTAGTGTTGCACAGAGGTCAAACTAGAAATGTTACACAAATATATGGGGGCCAAGCAGTATGTCACTACGCAGAGTGTACTTTAGCACATGCCCCATTGAGCAATTGACTATTAGAGCAGCTAATATGGAGATACAGTACTACTATAGCAGAAATATATAGGCGGCATTAAATGGGGGAGGGTAGCCCAGCACCTAAGACCAAAATTTACACCTTTATTTGTATATAGAGACAACATTATACAGGTATAAATGTGCGAATGCGCAGAATTAGAACTGTATGGTATCAAATTTGGAAGATATGGGAGTAACATAGTGGAAGATTTAGATGTGACATCATGAATTAAAATATATGTCTCCAGCACACAATGGATCTGTAGAGACACTGCAAGATTATTTTAGGAGGGGTCCATGGTTTTCTGGCAATATATATTCTTATCCATGTTGATACCAACTTGCTAGCATTTGCTGCAGGACCTTGCCCAGAAACATATAGCGGGGCAGCACAGTGGCTAAATGGTTAGCACTTCCGCCTGGCAGCACTGGGGTCATAGGTTCGATTCCCATACACGGCACCACCTGCCTGGAGTTTGCATGTTCTCCCTGTGCCTGCGTGGGTTTCCTCCGGGTACTCTGGTTTCCTCCCATACTCCAAAGACATGCTGGTAGGTTAATTGGCTCCTTTCTAAAATTGTCCCTAGTATGTGTATGTATGAATGTGAGTTAGGGGACTTTAGCTTGTACGCCCCTTGAGGGTTAGGGACTGATGTGAATGTACAATATATATATGTGAAAGCGCTGCGCAAATTGATGGCGCTATATAAGGTACCTGAAATAAAATATAGTAATATTTTATGTGGATCTAACAACACTCATGTGAGAAACTGCTCAGGTGATACCTTAGTACACCATCAAGGCTTGTTGAAACAACACACAATGTATCCAGTGTATATAGAAAGAAGACTTCTATGGACTTTATCTCCACACGATTATAGCCATTATCCATTAGTCTGACCAGGTACAGTGGGTTCTATTATAGTATTTCTGCATATTGCTGTGATGCCATATACTGTACTTGCCTCACAACTGAAGAGCTTACTTGATATATTGGCTACAATATACCCCTTCATTCACACACATATTTATTATTATTATACAGGATTTATATAGCGCCAACAGTTTGCGCAGCACTTTACAAAATGAAGGTAGACATTACAGTTACAATACAATTTGGTACAAGAGGAAACAGAGGGCCCTGCTCGTTAGAGCTTACAATTATCTACCGTATTTTTCACCGTATAAGACACACTTTTTCTTCCCCAAAACTGGGGGGGAAATGTCAGTGTGTCTTATGGAGCGGCCGGTCCGGTATTTCCACCGCGGCCGTGTCAGAATACCGGGCTGGCCGCTCAGCTCTGCAGCGGGACCTTACCTGTTCCTCTATCCAGCGGCGTGCTGTCTTCCCGGCTTCTGTAGTGTGGGCACTGGGCATGACAGCCAGGTGCCAAGTGCGCATGCGCAAGAAGCAGTGCTTTTTGTGAATGGTAAGGCGGTACCTGGGACACATGACAGATCCCAGAAGCCGCCGGACCAATCACAAAGCGCAAGTGCTTCTCGCTCATGCGCACTGGGCACCCGGCTGTCATGCCGAGCGCCATTACAGAAGCCGGGAAGACAGCGCGCGGCTGGATCGAGGAACAGGTAAGATCAAAGAAAAAACTGTGGAAGTAAGAGCGGGTACCTGTCAAATTCAGGTACCCGCTCCCCACCTCCCCAAAGGTCAGCAGTCATCTGTACTGTCCGCAGTCTCTGGTCATCCCTGTGCTGTCTGCAGTCTCTGGTCAGTCTGTCTGCAGTCTCTGGTCATCCCTGTGCTGTCCGCAGTCTCTGGTCATCCCTGTGCTGTCCGCAGTCTCTGGTCATCCCTGTGCTGTCCGCAGTCTCTGGTCATCCCTGTGCTGTCCGCAGTCTCTGGTCATCCCTGTGCTGTCCGCAGTCTCTGGTCATCCCTGTGCTGTCCGCAGTCTCTGGTCATCCCTGTGCTGTCCGCAGTCTCTGGTCATCCCTGTGCTGTCCGCAGTCTCTGGTCATCCCTGTGCTGTCCGCAGTCTCTGGTCATCCCTGTGCTGTCCGCAGTCTCTGGTCATCCCTGTGCTGTCCGCAGTCTCTGGTCATCCCTGTGCTGTCCGCAGTCTCTGGTCATCCCTGTGCTGTCCGCAGTCTCTGGTCATCCCTGTGCTGTCCGCAGTCTCTGGTCATCCCTGTGCTGTCCGCAGTCTCTGGTCATCCCTGTGCTGTCCGCAGTCTCTGGTCATCCCTGTGCTGTCCGCACTGGTCATCTCCTGTACTGTGTCTGCAGTCCATTAGTTCAGAATTTTTTTTTTTCCTGTTTTCTGCCTCTAAAACCTAGGTGCGTCTTATGGTCAGGTGCGTCTTATACGGCGAAAAATACGGTATATAAATGCTTAAACAGGACAATTATCTATCTAGCACACCTTCAGCCATTATAAAACCTATGGATTCCTAATAGGAGCTGTATCTATGACCAAAGTACTCTAATGCAGGCCACAGATGAGTCGAAAAATGAACAAAATTTGTGTCGAATAGTTTTTCACATCATTGACCTGCCAGCTGCCACGCACGATTTTTGAATCAGGCAATCGAAAGTGCCCAATCCAACATGCTGGGGTTTTTTTGGTGAAAATCAAAAAAACAACTGATGGCACCATCGTATGAGCTATTTTCATTTTTCGATCAACAGAACTTTTGTTTTTCAACTCATCTATGGCCTGCTTTATGGATTTATGAGCACTCTTGTGTAACTGGTTGCTAGCAATCTTTCAGTTATTGCGTTGTTTATGGTTCTTAGGTATGCTGCAATTTGAATAGCATTATGTGAAAAACATCTTAGTTACCATCATTTTATGTCCCGCTTGTGAATTTACATGAATGTCAAACAGGATTAGCATTTTAAAGTGATTTTTAAAAAGTCTGTGGTATTTGCTTGCATCTTTTTGAAATTAAAGCCATAATAACCCAAAACATAATACATTGCAGTTTACCAATCATTAGATGTGATTACTGCATCCATTTTATTTTCCTAGGCTTTTTTCCCCCTCTGTTTCTACCTGGTGTTCTGGTAAGTAACACACCTCCGGTATTAGAGAGACACCACTCTGGATGAAGGAGCACAGGGGCACCTTTGGATAGCAGCACTGTTAATCTGGGGGGGGGTTAGATGTAGTAGCAAATATAATATTCTCAAAAAAGTGTAAGCCAAACTCCAGCTAATACTGTATAAGCAGTTATATAGCAAACATTTTTTTCCTTTTGGAATAAATGTTTTACATAAATTATTTAAAGTTGATCATTGTAAGCTTGTTCTTTTGAAAAACAACAGACTGACTGGCTGGATCACCAGGTGAAAATAGAAGAAAGAAAGAAAGACTAAAAAAAGAAAAATAATGTAGCCATCGCATCAAAAAAATTGTAAGCTATAGTATAATAAATGTTTGCTTTTGGGTTTAACACTACTTTAAATATATTTTTGTGCTCTATTATATTAAAAGCATCATATTACTGTTTTTATCCCTGGTAGATAGATAGATCTTAGTTTGGGAAATTTGTTTGTTACAGGTGATGGAAGCAGTTTATCATCCTAAAACCTCATTGATTTTAATTCCCGTGATCCTTTATGATTTTGCTGATCACAAGGACCCAGGGATTACAGTACGTGATGTGTCAGTAGTATGACACATTCCCCCTTTTTTCTCCATAAGCGCTGTTTATGAACACAGTCCCTGCCTGCTATTGTGAGTATTTTCATCATGCCAACTGTTGGCTTTTAGGTGAAAGTAATAGAGCAACTATGAAGCAGCCCAATCACTTCCATATCCACCGTAACACCCTGTTGTATCGTACACCGCACAATCTTAGCTGTAGGAGTACAGGGGAGACCTCAGGGGTCTAATAGACCCCTGCTGCCTCAATTAAAGAGAAGCTGTCACAGGATATATGTTATCACATAGGGGGCTACTGGTTCCAAATGTGATAACAATATTGTTTTGGTTAAAAATGGAAAAAAAATACATTTTTTAAAGCTTAAGTGCAGCCAAAATCACATACAGAAAAATCAGCACAAGGGACATAACTTACATCAGTAGAATGTGTCCCTTGTGCAGATTCCTCTTCAGTTGGTGAAAATCGTCCTCCATTCTGCCCCTCCCGACCAATGTAATCTTTCAGTGCAGCTTGAGTTAATACAACTAATAGGCTGTCCAAGCCCCTCATCAAGACAGCCTGACTATGCCCACCCTTTCCGCCCGGCTACTCCTTTCATAAAAGTCATATGAGGCTTTAATGAATTAATCAAAATTTATAAGTGAATTGGGCAGAGCTATCCAGAATCCACCTGTCCTTCATTCCTAGATAGTGTTTCATTCATAGAAACTGTAATATGGCTTCTATGAATGACAGCCTTTCAGATGTATTAACCCCCACTGCACTGAAAGATTATGGCAACGGGAGTGGGGGGACAGGTCAGAGGAGGATTTTCACTAACAGAAGAATCAGAGATTCATACGACTGACTTTAAATTATGTCCGTTGTGCTGTTTTTCCTGTTTGTGATTCTGACTACACTTAGGCTTTAAACATTTAAAGTGACAAATAATACAAAACAAAAATTTAAATTTTGAAAGCACTCCTGCCCCTGCATACAAACATGCATGCATAAACGCATGTGTTGGGGCACCTATGTACGAAAAAGGGCGATTACACTACACATGGTATATATCACTGTGCACACAACGCAGGCCTATTATTCACAGTTAAGTCTAAACCAATAACCTGTAGGGGCTTTTAAAGCATCACCTATGGACAATTTTGGGTACCACAGTTTGTCACCATTTCACTGGCAATTTTAAGGCTTGGCATGGTTTTTGATTTACTCAGCACAACCTCATTTTTTGGATTTCACAAAAAAATTGGGTAATATATTAGATTTCAGTTTTTTGGGTTTTTTTGTTTTGTTTTTTTAATATGGGTTTGATAAACCGTTGTATTGAAGCAGAGTTTCAGTCATTTGTGTTTGTTAAAAGTCAGCAGCTACAGTTTTTGTAGCTGCTGAGTTAATAAACATTCACCTGTCCCAGGGTCCAGCGATGTGTTCACCCGCGCTGTCCCTTCTCTCCCTGGCATCTCAACTGTGGGCACCAGGCTGTGACCGCTTGCTTCACAGCCGGTTGCTGACTGCGCATGCGCGAGCTGCGCTGCACGTCCTGATTGGTCCAGCATTCTTCTGAGACCTGTGAAGTGTCCCAGAAGACTGCAGGAGATAGAAGGGGGCCGAACTTCCAGCTCACTTCACCTTGACGAAGTGAGCCGGAAGTGGGAGCAGGTACCTGTCAAAACCAGGTATCCGCTCCCCTCTCCCCCCAAAAAGTGCCAAATATGGCAGTGGGGGGGGGGGGGGGGGAAGGAGGCAAACAAGCAGAGCTTCCACTTTTGATTGGAACTCCGCTTTGATGTCATGTGACATAAAAAGACTGCAACTACCTCCATTTTATTTTGCAGGGTCTCGGCTTTCAGAAAATGTTGGGGGGAGGGTTAACTAATCTTCTGGCCTAAAATTTGCATTTAATTAATGAGCAAAAGATTAAAAAATGGCTCCGGGACTGAGGTGGTCAAACTTTGAATTATTATGGCAAATTGATCAGGGAACTGTAACATCCTGAGATAAGGGCTGGATTCAGTAGCCCAGGGGTGACTGACAGCTCTGCATTTACCCATGGAAGGATCTTGGAAAGAAGAGTTCAAAAGACACAGTCCATTGTAAAGAATGGTTGTACAAAAGGACCTGACATGTCCATAGATGGAGGTCAATGTAAGTAACAGGTGCTGGTAGCTTACCATTATGAGACATTCCCACACTAAGGCACTTTTCGAATCGGCAATATTGGCACTTGTTCCGATTTTTCTTCTGGATTTTACAGAGCCGCTCACACCTGTCATAAGCCAGTTTGAGGCGTATTGTTCTTCGGAAAAAGCCCTAAAAGAACAATATATTAGTCTTCATTGAAACAGGAAGCAATACAAACATAGAAAAAAATCCTGCATTCTATCAGTTATCTGCCCATTTACTTAGAAACATTAATCATCGGTGTTCTCAGTATCTTATTACTTGGATAGCCCACTGAAAACCTTTATCACAGTTATGCCTGGAAGCTGACGGGCTAAATAAATCACCAACTTCTTAAAATCCCTTGGGTTCTTCAAATAAACAAGGAATGAAAATGGAAGATTGAGCCCCCCTTGTAATGAATGAAAGAGGGGGCAGATCCTAAAACTTGGATTCTCAGTTTTCACCACTAGAGTCCTCCAGATACATACGGAGTTGGTGGTCCGTTTTTGGTGGACTGACCCTTGAAGATGAAATCCTCACAGACATCAGATATTCAAATTTACTAACAGACAGATTTACAATATTTAAATAAATTCTCCACTCAGTGACAGACTGATTGTGCTTACAGCTATGCTTTCTCTTGAACCTTTTGCAAATTATGCCATATTTTCTGTAATGTCATTCACAAAACTATCCTCCCACTGGCTCTTTGTAGACAGAAAAAAATATATCACTTAATTCACAAAACAGTAAAGAGGAGTTCTGTCTTGCACAATGGAAGATCAAGATTGAAGTTATTCCTAAACACTGGTATGAACAGTCTGTATACATAGTTAGCATCTATAGGTAGTATCTACCCACCTACAAAGGAAATCCAAGGCAGCAAACCAGTTAAAAGACCCTGCCAGGTCTCCAAATGTTTTGATTCAAAAGGCCCCTGAAATAAAATAAGCATATGTTTCCCTCTCTGGTAGCTTGTTTCTCCTACCTGTCCGCCGTTCCAGCGCTGCAGCCTTGGATACACTGTAGTATTTGGCCCTTTTGGGAGTGTTAGATGTCTGTGCCTCCTTCCCCAACCCTCCAACCTCACTGCTGAATCTTACATTGACGTAGGGGGTTGACGTAAGGAACCATTTCATGGTGGGGGATGCAGACGTCAAACACTCAGAGGCTGAAGTGCTAGAAAGCATTGAGTATACACTGTCTTTTAGGGCAGGGACCCTCTGGATTAAAATATTTTAAGACCTTACAGGGTATTTTTAAATTGTGACTATCACTTTAAAAAGCATCCAATAATCAAATAATATCTGTAAATGTATATGCAAAGAAAACACAGTACGGTTTTCCTTTGATGAGGGTGTATTTTCCGTATTATCACTGAGATTTAAAGCAGTATTAAACCTAGGAACAAACGTATTATATTGCAGTTTACCAATTCTTAGATGTCATGGCTATAATAGTTGTCTTTTTAAGGATTTCTTTCTTCTATTTTCATCTGGCAATTCAGCCAGCAAGTCTGCTGTTTTTCAGAATCTCAAGCTTTCCAGCAGAATGTAAGAGTTTACATGGATGAGACCATCCATATACCACTGGCAGGGGTGATTAAAAATGACCAGATTTTATTTATTCATGTAAAGCCTTTATCCCAAAAGGAAAAAGAGTTTGCTGTAACAGATTATAAATTGTGAGCTGGAGTTTGGCTTCAATTTTCCATTGCTATTGTATTCAAATCTGCTAATACATTTTAACCCCCCCCCCCCCCCCCCCCCAAGACTGATCGTGCTGCTGTGTCCTGGCTCATTCCTCCACAGTGGTGTCTCACTAATATAGGAGATATGTTACTGGCCAGATCACCAGGTGAAAACAGGAGGACAAAAGCCTAAAAAATAAACTGATGCAACCACCAGATCTAATGATTTGTAAGCTGCAATATATAAAATTTTTGGTTTGGGGTTTAATATTGCTTTAACTGGACAAACAATGGGTAATAAGTGCATGTGGATTCCTGGAATAAATACCTTGTTACACAATGTATTGCATCTGGCAACCTCATCTGATAGTGAATATTTACAAAGCTCGGTTAAAAATTGCATTACATATACAGCACAGCAAGTGCTTCCCATAAAACAATGAAAGATGTTGATTTGAAAGCATGAAAGGGCCTGATGTATGACATGTCCTGGGTAATTCTGTAAAACGTAGAGTTCTGTGTACGCAGCCCTTTAGCAATCAAGCAGCAGTCACAGAGCTTCTGTACTTTATACCACCATACTATCTTCATTGCTGGATTGTCCTTTAATTAAACATGATAAAATCAAAATAAGGTGATATACAGTAATTTTGTAGCCTGAAAAAAAGACATGTCTATGTCAAGCCTTATAAAAAGAATTATAAGTTGTTGTTTTTTTTTGGTTTTGTTTTTTTAGGAGCCTGTAAAGCATTGCACCTGTGATCAGCAGATTGCAGGCACAATCTCAGGCTCCTACAGTCTGTCCTTGTAGCTGTCTACCCATACCTCTGATACAGGTAGGCAGTTACAGAATGACAAGCAGAATCAGTGAACTATGAGCGTTCTCTCCAGCGCCCTGGTAGTTCATTAATAAATACAAGCTGGTAGTTGAAATTCTCTCATTCAGCTGGTAGTTGTAGTTCTCTCCTTCACAGAACTCTATGAATTAATGATGGGGCCAGGTGGGCAGAGTCCTGCATGGCCGTTTTTTTTTATATAAATTGTGCCAGTGGGTGCAGGGAGAGGATCCCTGATCCGCTGCCACAATGGGGGCTGCTTATTTAGCAATAAGTTACACTTTTAAGTGGTTTTGACCCTACTTCTCCTATGGATCACAGGAGGGCAGTTAGTTCTGTACTCCTGTGACCCTTTTTCAGCCAACAGCAGGCTAAAGACATTACTCAGCTGGTCCAGGCTCCGGCAGCTGGCTCAGCCACTCAGCGAGCCGATGGGAGACAGCCAACCACTCCTTCCCTCTCCACAGCACAGCCCTCCAATGAGCACTGGAGATGCAGAGCAGAGGGCCACTGACTGACGGTCATCTTTCTCTGCTCAAAGCAGGGGGAGAACAGAGCAATCAGTGGTCTTTGATTGCTCAGTTCTCAGTGCAGAGCTGGTGGAAACAGAAGCAGAATCGGACCACCTTTTAAATTTTTTTTTTTTTTCTAAAAAGCTGCAACACTCCTTTCCTCTCCAGAGTTGCCCCCTGCAGTAATCCCTTTTTGCGCCTAGATATCTTCAGTCTTTCAGGTTGAATGACATCCAGTGTATTGCTAATTTATTTTATTTTATACATTTTATTTTTCCACACCTTGCAGCCCTCGCAGGCATGCACTCCATAGTGAAATCCTGATGCCTTATCTCCACACACCCGGCATTCGATGCTTAACGATTTGGTTGGGTCTTCTGTGCCACTCAGTGCTGCTGGGAAGGAAATAGAAGATGGACTGGATGCTGGTGAGAGGGTATCTGCAGCAAAACATAGGAGAAAGGGGGGATTTAATGAATTGTATGAAAAATCTCTGATAATCTTTTATTAGAATTTTCCACTTTTCTTCTGAGATCTCTGGTGTGCACAAACAGGATTTCTATGAATTCAGCTGTAGAGCTCATCTGCAAATATAAACGATTTAAAGCTGAAGTTTAATCTGCTGATATTTTGCCTCCCTGGCCCCTCCACCACCATCAACATGCTAATTAAATATTTTAAATAAAAGCTTTTCATAACATACCTAAGTTTAGACCCTGTGATGTCATCACTAGGTCTCTGTGCTTCTCTATTCACTGCAGGCACACCATGGTTGGTGGGAGGGTTGGCAGGGTGCTGTACATCGCCTCCTAAAAGCATCACAATACCTAGCCTCAGTACTCCTCTAAAGAGCCTTTAGTCTTGATGCAAGCAGTGGGTTGGCTCTTGGGGACAGTTATGCAAATATCAAAATGCCTTGATGGGTGGATGAAAATCTGGCAGAATGGCCATTCCTAGGCTGCATTTGCCTGCCTAGGAATGCCACACCAGGAACAGCGACGTTTTAACAGAAAAACCGACTGACGCGACTAAATGCGCGTTATGCGCTTGTAGTTAATGCCCACATATGATGCTAAGCCTCAATGATAGAAAGTACTGAAATCCAATTATTTATCGGGGGTAGGCCAGCTGGGAGGAGAGAGCAAGATGATGATGCAATCCATTCACTATATCCCTCTGCCCCTCCCAAACAATTGTATATTGTGTCCTCACTGCTTCCTTCGCCCCTCTATGGCACCCACCACCTCCTCCTATTACTCCACTCTCCCACTGACCCCAACACCTCCACTAGTAGTTTCTCACGCTCCTGCACATCTCGCTCCCATGCCACCTTCTCTCACCCTTCTCCTCCTCCTAGCCGCGGGGGACATCTCCCCGAATCCTGGCCCTCCACCTCCCTCACCCGCTCAACACCCTCCCACCTCCACGTCCTACTGCAACCCCCACAACTTAGTATCTGTCCCCCTGCTCCCTAAAATCTCCCCCCCCCGTTTTCATGTGCACTCCTGAACGCCCGATCGGTGTGCAACAAGCTTACCGCCATCCACGACCTCTTTGTTTCCCGCTCCCTCAACCTCCTAACGATCACGGAAACCTGGATCCAGCCCACTGACTCTACCTCCCCTGCTGCACTCTCCTACGGAGGTCTCACCTGGACCCACTCACCCAGGCCTAACGGTCGTAAAGGTGGTGGGGTTGGTCTGCTCCTGTCACCGCAGAGCACCTTCCGAGTCCTCCCAAACCCCCCCTCCCTATCCTTCTCTTCCTTCGAGGCCCACTGCGTCCGACTATTCTCCCCAACCCCCCTGAAGATTGCTGTGATATACCGGCCTCCTGGATCCATACCCCGCTTCCTGGATGACTTCTCCTCCTGGCTACCCTTCTTCCTCTCCTCTGAGCTACCCACCATCATCCTTGGGGATTTCAACATCCCTGTCAACCTCGACAACCCAGACACAGCCCGTCTCCTCCACCTAACCTCCTCCTTTGCACTTGCACAGTGCATACAATCCACCACACCACTCCGACGGAAATATCCTGGACCTTGTCTTCTCCAACCGCTGCGCTCCCCACAACCTCACTAACACCCCCTTCCCTCTCTCTGACCACAACCTGATCACCTTCTCCATCTCCTCGTCCTCCAACGCCTACCCCTCCAAATGTCACACTACTACCAGCCATAACCTCCGCAACCTTAACCCTGCCTCCCTCAACTCTGCAGCTGATCAACTCCACGACCGCATCCTCCCCCTGTCCTGCCCCGACTTGGCTTTGACCGCCTACAACAATGCGCTCTCAACAGCCCTTGACTCACTAGCGCCTTTAACCACACGCAACATCAGACCCCGACCGCTCCAGCCCTGGCAGACTGATCACACCAAAACCCTCAAACGACAAAGTCGTGCCCTGGAGCGACTATGGCGCAAAACCAAATCCCAACAAGCCTTCACCCGCTACAAATCTGCCTTCCACACCTACACCTCCTCCCTCCATGCTGCCAAACAGGCCTACTTCTTGACCCTCATCAAGACCCTCTCCTCCAATCCTCGCCGACTCTTCTCTGCCTTCAACTCTCTACTCTCTCCACCCCCACCTCCACCCAGCACATCACTCACTGCCCTTGAGATTGCCAATCACTTCAAAAACAAGATTGACACAATTCGCAAGGACATTGCCGCAACTTACACACCCTCTCAACCCATCCCCTCTCACACAGCTACCCCCTTATCCCCCCTCCCCCTCGACATAACCCGCAGGGACTTCGTCGCTGCTCAAACTCTCTCCAACCCCCTTCACCCTCACTCAGCTACCCCCTCATCACCCCTCTCCCACGGCCCCACCACTGCTCTGACCTCCTCTTCCACCCCACCCTACATTCCTCATACTGAAGCTCCCCCAACACTCCGCACCTTTGACCTTACTACCATCGAGGAAGTCTCCAAGATCCTCTCTGATGCCCACCTCACCACCTGCCCCCTCGACCCTATCCCCTCACAACTCCTACGACCTTCCTCCTCCTCCATCCTACGCTCCCTCACCCACATCTTCAATCTCTCCCTCTCCTCAGGCACTTTCCCCTCCCCTCTGAAACATGCACACATCACCCCCATACTTAAAAAGCCCTCCCTGGACCCCAATGACCCGAACAACCTCAGACCCATCTCCCTGCTCCCATTTACATCTAAACTCCTCGAGCGCCTAGTCTACACCCGCCTATGCTCTCACCTCAACGACAACAACCTCCTCGATCCCCTACAGTCCGGCTTCCGTCCCCTACACTCCACCGAAACTGCCTTACTCAAACTCTCCAACGACCTGCTAACCGCCAAAGCTAATGGCCACTATTCAGTGCTCCTACTCCTTGACCTCGCTGCGGCCTTCGACACAGTTGACCACCCCCTCCTCCTCAAAAACTACTACACTCCCTCGGCCTCAGAGATTCTGCTCTCTCCTGGCTCTCATCCTACCTGTCACAACGCTCCTTCAGCGTTACCTATAATGCTACCACCTCCCCCTCACTCCCCCTCTCTGTTGGGGTCCCTCAAGGCTCTGTCCTTGGGCCCCTTCTCTTCTCCATCTATACCTCCTCCCTTGGCCAACTCATACACTCTCACGGCTTCAACCACCACCTCTATGCCGACAACACACAAATCTATCTCTCAACCCCCCACCTCACCCCCTTGGTCTCAGCCCGAATCACACACCTACTGAGCGACATATCAGACTGGATGTCGCTCCACTTCCTTAAATTGAACCTCTCCAAAACCGAGTTTCTTGTCTTCCCCCCAGCCCGGACACCACCCCCCATTGATTTCTCCGTCACATCCAACAACGCTACCATCAAACCCGCCCTGCAGGCCAGAGTACTGGGTGTCATTCTGGACTCCAACCTATCCTTCCAGCCCCAAGTCCAATCTTTAACAAACTCGTGCAGACTCCACCTCCGCAACATCGCCAAAATCCGCACGTTTCCTAACCCCAGAAACCACTAAACAGCTCATCCACTCTCTCATCATATCACGACTCGACTACTGCAACTCCCTCCTCACTGGCCTGCCTCGCCGCTGGCTATCCCCGCTTCAGTCGATCCTGAATACGGCTGCCAGACTCATTCACCTTTCCAACCGCTCTGTCTCCGCCACCCCCCTCTGCCAATCCCTCCACTGGCTTCCGATTGCGCAACGGATCAAATTCAAAATCCTAACGCTGACGTACAAAGCTGTCCACCATACTGCCCCGAACTACATCACTGACCTAATATCCAAGTACCGCCCAGCACGCACACTCCGCTCCTCACAAGACCTCCTTCTCTCTAGTTCCCTAGTCTCCTCCTCCCATGCCCGCCTCCAGGACTTCTCCAGGGTGTCACCCATCCTCTGGAACTCCCTGACCCAACCCATCAGATTATCACCTACTCTCCTCTCCTTTAGGCGCACCCTGAAAACCCATCTCTTCAGGGAAGCCTACCCCACCCCCTGCTAACTTGCCGACCTCCTCCACTCTTCCTACCACTCCATCCCCCATAGCTATCTCCTCCTGTGCCACCACCCCCTCCCTCCTAGATTGTAAGCTCGAAAGAGCAGGGCCCTCGAACCCCTCGTGTATCACATTGTATTGGTATTGTTCTGTCACATGTTCTGTCCCCCTTTGTAATGTACAGCGCTGAGCGAACTATTGGCGCTTTATAAATACTGTATAATAATAATAATAATGATGCTGGATGTCCTCCAGTCAGGAAATGAGGCAGGCTCTGAATTGCTACAACCTGAGAAGCTCACAGTGTGCAGTGAAATCATAGTAAGCAGTTCCAGTACAAAAGAAGAGCCTGTACAACTGTGCAAGACTGAAGGGAAGGCTGGAGATCAATTACAGTATATCTAAAGACCAGACTTATTTTTGCATTTTGAATTGAGTAGGGATTGATTTAAACCCTTTTTTTGCCACCTGGGTTTCATTAGGAAGATTTCCTTCACTCCCTATCCTGCAGACACAACAGGAAGTGAGGAAATATCTCCAAAATTTAACAAATCCCCTCTCAGTCACCAGAACACATACTCGCATTGGAAGATTTCACCCTTATTCCATGTATGGTCACAACTTAAAATCTTGGATTTTTCTTTTTAGTCAGATGACAAAAAGTCACCAGGACCAATAGAGGGGTGACTTTCCCTAGCGGGTACCCAGACAAAAGTAAAGACCTAACAGGGGTTCTAATCCTTCCATACTTCCCATAACAAATTGCCTGTATATGTACTTTAACCATCTCCCGTCCGGCCGTTGTATATAAACGGCCGGATGGTGGCAGCGCAGGGTCGGGTGGCCGTTTATAAACAGCCTCCCCGCACCCTGCTTGTGCGCGCTCCCTGGGAGCACGCAGCACCTCGATTCGGTGCCCGCTGTGTCCGGACACTGGAACACCAATCGTCGGACGGGACCTCTG